GAGAACAAATGGGATGTTGACATGTATTTCACACAGCTAATTTTATGTTCTATTCTATTTCAGCCAGTTCAAATATTTCCTGTTTGGATGTTGAAGTGGGCAGAGTCAGTTATAACGTGTGTGTGTGTGTGTGTGTGTGTGTGTGTGTGTGTATTTGTTGGAAATATCTCCCTGGCATTTTACCCCCTGCCATCGTTAACGCTGTTTTGCTGTACAAATCTCTTTTTATCTCCCTTCTATGTCTAGTGAACTCCTATAGACCCTCCATCTTTCCAAACCCCACCCTCATCACTGATGGGAGGACAGCCCTCCTGTTTTCAGGAGCAGCAGAGCGAGGGTGAAATCTGTGGCAGGCTAAGCTGGGCCTGCCCAGTTCACCAACCTGCTCTGACCTTCCTGCTGAAGTACCTGGGGCAGGCTCCTTGGCACCTCTGTGCCTCAATTTCCTTCTCTAAACTGGGGCTACTGCCTGGCTGGTGTGGCTCAGTGGTTGAGCATAGAACTATGAACTAGGAGATCATGGTTCAATTCTTGGTCAGGGCACACGCTCAGGTTTCAGGCTCGATCCCTAGTATGGGGCATGCATGAAGTGACTGATTAATGAGTCTCTCATATCAGTGATGTCTTCTCTCTCTCTCTCTCTCTCTCTCTCTCTCTCCTTTTCTCTTTGAAATCAATAAAAATGTATTTAAAAAATAAAAACAAAATGGGCCTACAATACTACTTCCATCGCAGGGCTGCTGAGAGGGTCACATGTGATGATATAGATAAGGTACAGTTGTAGGCACTTAGACGTTAGATGAGGCCTCCATAGCACCACTCACACACCCTCCAGTCCAAACACAGGGCTTCTCATGGAGAAGGGCTGCTTCAGATTGCCGTTGCTTCCCCACCTGGGCCCGGGCCCTCAGCAGGCCCTCCACAAACCTTAGTTAAATTGGATTTACTGCACTCACGCATCCTCTGCTCCATGAGGAGTGCCAGGGCCAAGAGACAACGAGGTGCGGTCTGCAGAGCGTGGCAGCATCTCTCCACCGCGGAGCCATCTACACAGCGGAGTCACTCACCACCGGGAGCCTGCGCCTCGCCCCGCCTCTACGCTCCAAAGAAGCACTGAGGTTTTCTGAAGATGCGAAATTTCACAGCCCCTTGCTATCTTTTGGGTAACTGCGTATTTTATGATGACTAATAGGCAATTACTATGGTAATATTGCAATCCAGCATGTGTGAGGTTTGGGAAATGAGAAATTATGGGTAACTACTCTGGACTCATTTCTATGGCAACAAAAAGTAATTGTCATTAAATACCAGTTATACTGAGGCTGTACCTGGTAATTATAGATTTTTATGCCCAGAAACATAAATAAAACCAATAAATTTATGCAAAGGTCTATGACTGTTTACTTATACGTGGCTCTACGGAATACACAATGACAAGCACCTAATTAAGAAATGCAAACCCACCACAGAGTCATGCGGTCAGATGGAGATGGAGAGTCTGTTTCTCAAATGCAAGGCTCAGAAGAGAACAAGGCAGGAGGCACAGGTAGAGACTGAGGCTTTCTTCTCTGCCAAGGAAGTGATGGGGGAGGACGCAGTAGCAGAGAGAGCGAGACAGTGCAAACGCTGCAACTTGTGTGGGCAGCCACTGGTGGAGGGACCAGGCCCTGCTCCAACCCAATGGCCTTCCACCAGGAGTCGCCTCGCACCTTCTTTTCTCTGCAACACCTGAAGCTACAGAATTCATCCTGCAGCCGAGGCCGGTTTGGCTCAATGGATAGAGCGTCAGCTTGGGGACTGAAAGGTCCCGGGTTCGATTCTGGTCAAGGGCATGTACCTTGGTTGCGGGCATATCCCCAGTAGGGGGTGTGCAAGAGGCAGCTGATCGATGACTCTCTCTCTCTTCCATGTTTCTAACACTCTCTCTCCCTTCCTCTCTGTAAAAAATCAATAAAATATATTTAAAAGAATTCATCCTGCAAAACCTCTAGGCGTCCGGTTTCCCCGGGACCTAGGAAGATGCTTGCATTGCATCAGCAGCCATACCAGTCTTGCTTTTTTAAATTTATTTATTGTAAAATACACATAACATCAAATTTACCAACTTAATAATTTTAATGATACAGTTCAGTACATATTATTGTGCTACCATCAAGATCATCTTTCTTCAAAACTCTTTTCATCTTATAAAACAACATCTATGCACACTAAACAATACCTGCCCACCCACCCCCGCTTCCCCACCATTCTGCCTTCTGTCTTTATGATTCCATATACTTTAATAAGCTTCCTTTCTTCCTTCCTTCCCTTCTTCCCTCCCTTTTTTCCTTCCTTCCTTCCTTCCTTCCTTCCTTCCTTCCTTCCTTCCTTCCTTCCTTCCTTCCTTCTTTCCTTCCTTTCTCTGTCCTATGTCCCCTCCTTCCTGCCTTTCCTCCTGTGCTCAAGCTACTTTGAGAATATTTTTATTATTTGCAAGCACAGAAACTTTAACTAAGACTCTTTCCCTCCCAGCCCCCCTTCTCTCTTCCCCCCCCCCCCCCCCCGCCCTTCACAGGGTGGCTATAAGGATGAAATAAGGGTGGGAAAGCTTGACATGAGCTGGGTGAGCAAACAGAATTCTTGAAATGGCATTTCCTGTGATGTGTTTTATAAGCCCTAACACCCCTGGGGGAATGTGTGTGTGACAATTTGGAGAACACTAAATACATATCCCCCTCTTCAGATTCCTGTTTACTGATATTAGCATTTTTGAAACTGAAAAGTCTTATTATAAAAGGGCAGGTTTAACTTTTCTCAGCTCTGTGTTTCCCAAACTTACTTGAACTCTGAATTCTTCCCCCTATCCCCCATAATGCCGTGGGAAGTCCCACCAAATGGTGAGAATTGCTGCTGTATCAGTCAGGGGCTCAGGAGGGGCTGGCTGCTCTCGGGGACCTCAACCTCCGAGGTGCACACTCCCCACATCTGGTAGTGGATTTTTGTGACTGATAGCCTCTTTTGTTGCTACTCAGAGCTGTTTTAGCAACAGGATTAATGCCTGTGGTTGGAGATTTCCTCCTGCTCTCTTAGTGAGAGTCACACATTCTCACTTGGAGAATGCTGGGGGTTTAAACTTGAGGGCAGAACCACTTCTGAGTGTCAGAGCTTTTTCATCCTGAAATCCCAAATCACAAAATCTGGATCTTAAAGACATATTAAAGCATCTGGTTCCCCATCACCACCCTCCTGGCCATCCCAGGGAGGGGTGGCATCCGGGCCAAGGTCACAGACCTCTTTCCAGGGCATCCTCCCTGGATGGCAGAGGACGACATAAATGTGTGTGTGGACAGCATTGACCTCCCTCTGACCACGGCCGCTCTTGTAATTAAGCAGAAACGTTAACATAAATCAAACAGTCATTCCACCACCATCATCACTAACTGCATTCTGTCCAGGGAGGAGAACGGCACTGCACTCAGGCCCACAGCAAGCCATAAAACTTGCCAGTGCTAATGAACCATCACTTGAGCCAATTAAGAGAGGAAGCAAAACTGTCTTTAATTAAGGCATCATGCGTCCCGTGGGCTCTCTCCAACTCATACCCAGGGGGACTAGGAGGCCCCTCTGGACCAAATTGCCATGCTCTTGGAAAGCAGCAAACCAGCTCTGTTTGAAGTGAAGCTGGCAGCCTGTGTTCTGGTCTGAGCTCTGCCACTATTCCCATCTCACCTCTGGGTCTCAGTTTCTTCATCAGTTGAGTCATTGGATTTCTTCACTCATATACATCAAACAGCCTTTGAGCACCTACTATGTGCTGATCTTTGCTGCCAGGTCTGGGTTATACACAAAGACCATTAGGGCTCAGACCCTGCTCTCTGGTGTCTGGAGGGTCAGTGGGGTCCATGCCTTGGGATAAAACTTGCTCAATAACCAGGCTGGTGGGAACTCAGAGAAGGCTGTGACCAATTCTGTTTGGGGGGTTGGGGAATGTTTTCCAGAAGAAGTGGGACAGCTGAGTTGTGAAGAGAGGTGAGTGAGGTGAGGAAGGTATGAGGGGGTTCTTGGCAGAGGGTAAGGGATCAGAGACCATCAGGACACATACAGGGAACAAGGCTTTACTTAGTGTGGCCACAGCAACAGTTCTAAGAGTGGGATATGGGAGGTGAGGCAGCACTGTAGACAGACAGATAAACAGCAGGTCATACAGAGCCTTGCAAGAAAAGCCCAGTCCTTTGAATATTTTCTTGAGAGTTTTTGTTGGACTCATAAGCAACAGAGTTGTATAATGTGGGCAGAGAAGTTAGACAGTCAGTGATTTACTGGGTGTGACTTTGGGCAAATCAGTGGCCTCGACTGTGAAATAAGAGCAAGAACACTATCTGAGAGAATCCAATGTCTTTTCAGCAGATAACCACTCAGCAGTGGAATTTAGGCCAAAAATTATGGTGCACCAGCAGAAAGAGAACTCAAGACAGGAGTGCATGAGTGAGTATGGGGCTAGCTGGTAAGCCCAAAACACAGAAATGCTGTTCAGATGATCAAGGGTACCATTCTATCATTAGTGACCTCCAAGAAGAAACACAGAAATGAAACAGCAATCATTGTAACCACCATATGATATTCTGCAAAGCATAGTTATCACCACCATTTCTTCTGATGCTCACAGATACCCTGCCAGGTAAGTAATTATTGTCTCCATTACACAAGAGAAATGGAGCATCAGCGGGGAAATGAATTCCCTAAGGTTACATAGCAAGTGGGTGCCAAAAACTGATAGTAGGCACCTGATTCCTGGTCCAGCAAGCTGCTCAGAAAACCCCAGCAAGTGATAGCTCTGGTGGCTGAGCATAAAACAGCCAAGGCTCATTAGCCACATTTTCTAGAGCCAGGGTGAAGCTTCCGCTAATTAACTCCTGGGAAGTCTGAAAATCCTTCCTCAAAAATACAACCCCTTTTACTTGTTGCTTCCATGCCATCATTCTACAACTACCAGCTTCTGAACATCATCTCTTGTCACTCACCTGTAATTGCCCAGGTAGACTCCATCAGGGTTGAGCATTGGTGCAATCTTGAAGACCAGGTGTTCCCGCAGGACACGAGCAATCGGGTGCTGGCTTACGAGGAAGTCAATGATCCCTAGGGAAAGAGAAGCCTCTGAGTTAACCTCAAAGAGTTTTTAAGGAGGAAGCACATTGTCCTCCTGAAGCCCAAGGATAGGATGGAGAGACCATTTCCTGTGGAAAGCACAGGGAGAGCTTCCAAAAACATAGCATTTGAGCTGTGCGATGGAGAGCCCACAGGGTTTTGACAGACTGAGATGAAGTTAGCTAAGTACCGGCATCCAATTGATGACTATGGGGTCAGAGGACTTAAGGATCTGGATCCTCATGCTGAGGATGGGCACACCAGGAAGCAGGGAGGGGAAGGGATCTTGCTAATGTCACGTGAGGAAAGAGGTTTCTTTAGTGTTCCCCAACTGTCCCTTTCCCCACTTTGAGGATCCTCTGTTCCAGATTCCCTCTTTGCTTCTCACTGGCACCTACACCACCTTGTGTCCAGGTCACTAAATTTAGAAAAGCTGAATTCTCCATGACTCTCCTTCCCCAGTCAAGCTGCCCCCAAGTCTCTTCTTTGAATCTAGGAAAGCTGCCCTCATCCCAACCTTCTGTCTCTCTTCTGCTCTATGCCACCACATCTGGCCTGGGTGACAACCAATGCCTCTGACAGATGCCTTACACACCGTAGCCAGGAGATATTCCTAAAGTGCAAGTGTGACCCTGCCACTCCCTCCTGGATGTCTTCTGGTGATGGCCTGCATGCATCCACAAGAAGGAGGTGAAAAAACAAAACTGAGCCCTTGCTCTCACCTTCCTCTTCTCAATGATTCTTCATCTAAGACCGAAAACAGTGGGCAAGATGGCACCCTGCATCCCATGAAATGACTGTGATACTGGAAAGTAGTAGAGAGTACACAACCCTTCCAAAATGCAGAAGAGCAACTCCTGTCCTGCTGGAGAGAGCACCAGGAAGAAGAAGCTTTGAGTTGGGCCCTGGAACAGAGTAGGTTTGATAGACGGACAGGAGGAGGCGGCAGGATGACTAAGAGCAGTCCCCATGCCCAGTGGCAAGCACTTAGCTCCTGGAGTGACTCCAGAGCACATTCCAGAGCTGCTAGGACTGGTGAGGGATGGCTCAGGCTTTTCATTAGGCCAAGGCTGAGAAATCATGGGCAGCCACAAGCCAGTTGGACATCATTTATTTCTCGGCCGATGCAGCAGTAGACCAGATGTCTTAATTTATTTGTTGGTCTTCATACGAAAGCTGCAGTTTGCCAGTAAACAGGCAGGGTAATGATGCCAGGCACCCTTGTTAGGGCCTCATAATTGCTTAATCTGTCCACTGATTGACCCCGGCTCCCGGGGAGGCTCTTCATCATGGAGCCAGCCTGTGCTCAGGGCCTGACCATGCTGCCTCAGAGAATGGCTTCTGGAAACGGAGTAGCTCATTGTGATCCATCCTCCTTCACAGATGAACAGATTAATTGGGCTGCCAATTAGGCAGCTAATAAGGATGATGAGAGAAAACAAAGCCAGACCAAAAGCCGCAGCCACTCTGAGCTCTGGCTCCCAGAGTGAGGGTGGGGATGGAGACGAGATGAGAGATTTCAGACCCATCTCCTGGCTTGAGGTCAGATACAGTTCAACGGGCATCATTCCCATTGGTTGGGAAATTGGGAGAGGACCTTCCACATTGTTTTGGTGAGGGGAAGTGGAGAGGAATAGGAAGAGAAATGTTGGGGAAAGTAAAGAGAGGAAATGCCATTCCTGGCCATGGGTCAAAAGCATTGCATGGGGCAGAGGAAGTGGAAAGAGCATGGGCTTGGGATGTGTATTCGAATTATGACTGGTTGTTAAGCTAGAGAAGTTACCAGCTTTCTCTCGCCGGTTCACTCGTTTTGACATATGGAAAATAATATTAATACTAATCTGAAAGGCTGTTCTGTGACTGGGTTAGAGCTCCTATGTTCTGACTGCCTGACACAGCAGCTGAAAACTGTAATGTGCTCTGAGAAACTCACTTAGATCAAAGGTTGAAAGACATGGAGGGAAGTGAAAAACAGAATGGAGTTTAGAACTAGGAGTCTGGTCTGTGAAGTTTAATGATTATGGGATTTGGGGACAAGGATACTGAATTGGAAAAGCCACAAATCAGCAGTCAGAGCTGCTGGGCCCCAGTTTTGCTTGGTGGGCCCACTCTTGTCTTTACAATAAGGAAAAAGAACTCAGAAACTCCCCAGAGTGCATGCTCACTGACAGTCTTGAATTCATCTATTTCTTTCCTTTCTTTGGGAGCAGAACCCTCCTCTGCCAAATGAGAACAATCTCCTACTCCTGGGAGACACTATCAGCCCTGTAAGATTGGTCTGTCCCTTTAACAGATAAGTTTTCAGGGTTCTTTCCTTCCAGCAGATTTAATCAGGGAGGAGGGAAAAAGCAGGATGGCAGGAAAGCTTGAGGCAGGAAGGCTGTGTGAGTGTGTGTGAGTGTGAGTGTGTGTATGTGTGTGTTTGTGGGTCTCCTTCCTCCTCCTCTTACCCCCACAGGACAACCTGAAGCATGACCTTCCAGAGGGAAGGTCAGCTCTACACCCGTCTAGGGTCTGGTGGGCACCTTGGCACATAGCAGCAGGGTCCAGGATGTGGGACAGGAGACCTGGGTCTGGTCCCTACTCTACCAGGTGACATGTAGTGAATTTTTTGGCTTTTTTGAAGAGCAGGGCTGAGAGCTGCCCAATGACCTGGTAGGATTTCTGAGAAGAGTGAGAGGAAGAGAGAGTGGGCATGGTGTCACCTCCACGCGCCTGATGCTGCCCTGAGCCTGACATACATGGTCTTGTTTGCCCTCCCAGCAGCTCCGTGAGGACTACTCAGCTGCCCATCTTTTGCAGGTGAAGAAACAGAGGCTCTAGTAGGATTGAGGACTTGCTGAAGGTCCCCAACTGGGAGGTGGAAGTGGCAGGACTCAGACTCAGGCTTGCCCAAGTGCAGGCCCCTGCTGTGCCCACTGCCCATGCTGCCTTTCAGGGGGATGTGCCTTGCCTGCATTGTCATCCCACAGTGTAGGCCTAATTAACTCAATTATGAAGGATCTGAATTGGGGTGGGGCTTCAACAAAAAAGCAGTCACTGCACCAGGAGGAAGACCTGAGGTCTAGTCCTGGCCAACCAGCTAACCAGCTGACATGCAGTATGGTAAATGAGGAGGGTTTGGTAACAGCTCTCTCAAGGGTGCAAGGAAATGGGGGATGGGAGTCACACACTGGGCTTTGGTTCATGAGGAGGGTTAGTGGACTCATACCTGCACTTGCAAGTGCTCAGTTAACCATGACCTACCTCTTGATAGCATGTATGGAGGCCCGCTGAACACCAGGCACTGTCCTAAGTGTTGTGTGAACATTAACTCATTACACTGTCACAGCAACACTAGGAGGCAGGATTCCTACTACAATTTCCCTTTAAGGTAAAGGAATGGAGGCACAGAGAGGTTAAGGGACATCCCAAGGTCACACTGTACTTAGGGGAAGAGCTGGGACCCAATCCCAGGCTGCATAGCTCCTAAGACCATGCCGCACACGCTCTGCACCAGGGTGACAAACAGAGCACTTGTGGCTGATGAACAAGGAGAGTGTGGCCTCACAGAGGCCAGGAGAGGGTCTGGGGTGGCAGAGCTCCAGATTCTCAGCCATCCTACAAGCAGCTCTGCCTCCCTTCCTGCCACCGCCTCTGGCGCTCTGCAAGGACAAGGCTCCACTCTGCTTTCAGCAGCAGGTGTGTCAGCAGCTTTGCGATGAGAACCTTGGTCCCAGCCATATGGGGTAACCAGGCCCACATGTCTGTTCCCCACTCAAGGTCACTGAGCCAGATAATGGGGAAGAAGTAAACAGAACGAAGGTACCAGACTTCATCCTTCCAGGCCTTGGGTCCCCTTGCCCTGCCCATAACCAAGTGGGCAGGGGAGGGGACCTTTCTTCCCCAGGGCTGGGTATGGGGAAGAAAGTCCAGCTGAGCCATTGTGGGGACTGAGAAACCTCTGGGGAAGACTGTGCCTCAGTCTCTCTTTGGCAATGGGGAAAGGAAGCCTGACTTAAGCTGCCTCCAGGAAGGAGCTGTGTGTCCTGAGGGACAGCCAGAGATGGGAAAAACAAAGGCAGGATTGGGGAGAAGGGCCCACGCCACACCTGCCATGAGTTAGTGTGTGACCTTGGGTTAGCCTCTTTGTTTCTCTGAGCCTCTTCTACACCCTCTTCTGTAACATGCTCACTGTTGTGGGATGTCCAGAGAACTGTGTGTTCCTGGCTGGAGCTTGGCCCTCTAGCATGTCCCATTGCTGAGTGGGGCATGCACAGGCTTGGGAGACCCAGATCAAAGCCCCCCTAGGGCTCCCTTCTGCACCCTTCTCCCTCTTTCGGTCCCCTTTGGCTCCTTCTGTGCTCTTTGGCCCCCTTCTGGCTATGTGACTTTGAGGCTCCTCTTTCTGAACTCAGATTTAGCATCCCAGAGCCAACACATCATGTGTCCCTCACCATAGCCCCAAGAGATGAGCAAAATAATACCCATTTTACAAATGTGGAAAATGACATTTGAAGACCCAACCCTAGGCCTCTGGTAGCTCATGGTTTAAAGGGGAAGAAACAATATAACTCTAATATATAACAAATCAGGATAATTAAGATTACTATCAGGTAACCTCTAAAGCAGCCATAAAGTAAGGGGCCATAAAATAGGGTGTGTGCCAGGCGCCCACAGATGGCATTTAATATAAACCTTGGACTATGGGAAGTGTTTACCAAGTGGTAAGGAGTAGCCGGCAGAGGAGTTAACAGCTGCAAAGGCCCAACAGTGGAGAGAGGATTGTCCACCCAGGGATTAAGTTGTGTGGGGCTGGGATATACCAAGGCTGATGCCAGAGAACCTGGCAAGAGCCACATCATGAAGGGTGAATGTCATGCAAGAAGTTTGGAGATTATCTTGAGAAGGTAGAGGGAAGGCATTAAAGGCTCTGCCAAGGAGTAAACTTTGATCAAAAGCCTATAGAACAGCACCGGCTCTATCAACTCCACACCATCCAGGTTCCTTTTTGGAAAAGCAGGGCCAACAGAGAGAGCACTGGAGCTCTATGCAACTCTGTGCCTCAGGCCTCATCTATAAAATGGAAGGCAGCCCTGCCCTCTGTCTGCTGTGCACAGAGGAGGAGGGCATGGGAGTCTAAGCTCCCCGAGATGAAAGTACTGATGGTATGACTGCTACCTTTTTACAAAGAAAGACTTGATAGTTGCATCCCATTAGCTGGGGGAACAGGTCTGCTGCCAAGTTTAGTAACTGCCAGATGGCTGCCGCAAAGCCAAGAGGGACCTGGGAGAGGTGATTGCAAGGACAGTGCTGGAAGTGAGAATGCCAAGGAGGAAGCTAAGGTGACTGGAGCGAGGAGGTGAGACAGCCCAGCTGTGCCTCATCTGAGCTACATGGCTCTGGGGGATCACTTTCTCTCCCTGAAACTGTCTCCTTGCCTGAAACATGGGACAGGCAGTTATGTCCAATCACAGCGCTGGAAGAATGCGAATGGGGGAAATGGACCCCATATCCATCTGCATAATGCCTCACAGTGTACAAAGCAGATTAACTGTGTCACCCTCTCAGATTCCCATGAGGAAGGAGGGACACCTGCTGCGTCCCTGCTGGATGCCGCCTATAGGAGGGGGTGTTTGTGTACATTCACCCCAGGCCAGCTCTATCACAGCCTTCAGACAGGGATTGGTTTCCTAACCCATTTCACATTCCAGGAAACTGTCACACTGGGAGGAAGTGGCAGAGCAGAGCTGATATTTGACCCCAAGACTATCTCATGGCAAATCACCAGGTAATTCCCCAGCAGCAGGCCATCTCCCTCAAGTTCTGTGACCTTAGGGGTTTTTCCTATTCCTTTGACTTCATGGTCACTTTGAGACTAAAATGAGATAAATTACTTAAGTTCCCTTAACTTCAATTTTCTCATATTAGTTCCTCTGACATTGAAAAATGCATATAGTGGAAATAAGTAAAGTCAAGACATGAATCCTGGGTGAAAACCACTGTGGGCACACACAGGACTGTACCATTTTTATAAAGTTCAAAACCATGCAAGACTCACACCACATTGTTTGGGAATGCTTGCATGCTTAGTAACTGTTAAAAAAAGACAATTACAAAATTCAAGCTGATGGTTATTTGTGTGAAGGGGAGGGCAGGAAGGAGGACAGAGGACTTAAAAGGAATTGATAATCTGCTGCTACTTATGCTGAGCATTCACTAAATTATTATTTATATGTTACTTATTGGATATATTTATATAGCTGACTAGCTCAATGTATTTTATATAGATGAAATATTTGATAATAAATAAAATAAAATGCAATTATAAAGAGATATATTTGAGAAAAGGCATTGTATCTTATTTATCTCTGGTTGTCTGATACCAAGCATGCTTCCTTGCTCATGGTGGGTATTTCAAAAGTTGTGTGTTCAGTGGATACTTGGGTAAATGAGTGAATAGAAAAATTTTAGTCCTTGATTCCCCAGTTCACTGGCTGCCCTTCCATCAGCATGCACTTTGGCCTGGGAAGAGATGTATTATTGTTATAAACCACTGGAAACAAGTAAAACACAGCCAGAGAGCATAGGTTTCTCTGCACAGCTGTACATTGTCAACACAGCAAATATTAGAGAATTTTATTCAGTCCCCCTGTTTTTTTATGTATCATCCAGTCATCCATCCAGTCATACATACATACATGAGGTCAATATTTATTGAAAATAAATCCTAGGGAAGATCAAGTGTAATCTCTTTAGAAGTGAAGTGAATTCCCACCCAAGATAATGATTCTGTGCGTTACCACTCTGTCCAAGAGATCATCACAGTGCCCCAGTGGGCGTGGGGCAAGCACAGGATGCCCATGGGGTCCTGTGACTCACCTTGGCACACAAAGGAAGAGGGTGTTTCCCCTGGGTGGACTCGTCCCGTGATGAATACCACCTTCTGCTCGGCCCCTTCCCGAAGATTGTCTGGAAGATAAAATAAAAGAAGGTTGTTAAGGAAGGCAAGGAAAGCTGAGACTAGGAGAGGGAGAAAGCAGGAAATGGGCTGGATGCTTTACATTCATCTCTTAAATCATTCAAGCATGTCAAACTTGCCTCATTTATTTGGCCTGTGTTAGCCTTTGAGTTTGACATGGTGACTAATTTAATTATGTCCCTGGCTACTAAATATTAAAAGACTATATCCCGTTTCTTAATGCAACTGATTATATTAATATTAAAGTCATGTAAAGAGGTCATATTAGTGACTAAATCCCAGATCCACTGAGTAGGCAAGTTGTATATCCATTCTGAATTTTCATCTGCTAATCTATAAATGTGGATAATAGTATCTACTTCTATACAATAGGATTGTTGTAATGATTAAACAAGCTAACATATTGCCTAGTAAATATTCAGTAGCTGAGTAAGTAAAGGAGGTATACTTAAATTATACCGCCTCCCCACAACCGGACAAACTAGTCCCAAGCCTTTAGAACCAGGCTTCATAGAGTTACTAGTTTTTTATTTTAATTTAGTATCTGACCTGGATGTATCAAAAGTGGGATCGTGAACTGCATTCAAAATAACCTGTCTCTAGCATTTTAGAAGCTGAAATCCTACTCCTTGTTTCTAACTGCCCTCAATGGGATCCTGTAATAGTGGCAACTGGCTTTCAATTAGCTCCTATTATGTCAGGCACAATATACAAATTATTTATAATCCTTACAGAAACATTCTCATTAATAGCCCTTTTTATAGAGGTGAATACTGAGTCTCAGAGAAGCTATATAACTTGCTCAAGGTCAGACAGAAAATAGGTGAGGGAGAATGAAATGATGCCTATGTGAACGGCACAGAGAAGTAGGACTCATTTGAATTCGCTCACTGATTGTGCAGGCAACCAGTGGAGAACCCAGAAGGACCATGCCTTAGTTGTCCTTCTCAAATACTCACTAACAAAATTAAAAAGCAAATCTCAAAAGGACCACGCTTGAGACAAGAAATTCAACTGACTGGTATATAAATCCCAACTCTCTTTAAAGGAAGATAACAGAATCCAGACATTCAACCATGTATAATTCACAAAATCCAGCATCCAATAAAAAATTACTGGATATACAAAGAAGTAGAAAAATATGGCTCTGAATCTTGGCCCAAGTCTTGCTGCCTCTACAGAAGTCTCACTTATATCAGAAAATTTAACTACTGTGCAAAGATACAATTAAGCAAAAGCAGTAGCCAAGCGTGACCGTCCCAGAAAGAAGGGGCAAGAGAAGGGTACTTAGCTGTGGGCACAGGAAGGACTGATTGCCCCAGAACAGAACAACAACCTGAAGTGAATTCAGAAATGAAAAAAGAGAGACGCTGGATTACAGGATCCCATTGAGGGCAGTTAGAAACAAGGAGTAGGATTTCAGCTTCTAAAATGCTAGAGACAGGTTATTTTGAATGCAGTTCACGATCCCACTTTTGATACATCCAGGTCAGATACTAAATTAAAATAAAAAACTAGTAACTCTATGAAGCCTGGTTCTAAAGGCTTGGGACTAGTTTGTCCGGTTGTGGGGAGGAGGTCAATTGATTCCCTAATGATAGGGAAGAGAGATAATGGAGGCCACATATGTTTCTGAGCACTCACTGTGTACTCACTCAGTATTGCCTTAGGCACCTTTAGGAGCAAAGGAAGAAATAGAAGACCCACCTTTTCTAAAGAAGTTCATGGTCAGACATGTGATTGTTTCCTAGACTGAATAGAAGCTCCACAAGGGAGAAACTGCAACTTGCACTGTGCATGTTTAATGTCTTTCCTGGGACCTTGCATGGAGCAGGTGTTCAGAAACCAGCTACTAAACTAACAAATAAAAGTACTCATATAGATGATGGTTTACAAAGAAATTTAGACACACATTATCTTATTTACTCTTCGTCATGTCTCTGAGGTGGAGAGTATTGACCCCATTTTACAGGTGAGGGACCTGAGGCTCACCGGTGGAAGGTCATGCAGTTGGCAGAGGTAGTTAAGTCTCAGTTCCCAGCCCAGTGCCCCTTTCCCCACCTATGTGTCTCCTCCAGATCCACTAACAATGCAAGACTCCACATCCCCTGCATTTCCATCTATAACATATACAAAAGTGTTTGCTTTCATCCCTTATTCCTGGGGGAAGTTGAACTACTCTCTCAGTATTTATATTGCTTTTCCCTTAATAATAATAATAAAAAAATGCCACTGAGCCCTTTAAAAAAAAACACTGTCTAACACTGATGCCATCTATCTCAGCAGTTCAGAAATGATAAATGGCATTACCGGGGCCCTCGATGAAGGCTACCTCTATGAATGTCTCTCCTGACCCATTATCAACTCAATTGCATTCAGCATTTCTGCTGACCACAGGAAAATGCAAAATGGGCATTCTATTTGCACACTAATTTCACCAAGCCCCTGCGTCTTCATAAAATGATAACGTGGTGCTAATAAAAATCAAGCATCTCGGGTGCTAATATAAGCAAATGTTGATGCAGGCAGGTAACAAACTGCTTTGTCATTTAGGAGGCCGTAAAAGAGCATTATAATCATCTTTAGACAAAATGGATGGCGCGCCTTTGCTTCGTTTTTAGCTTTCATTTGCAAAATCAATTTAAGGTAATGTAGCAGCTCTGAGGTGGTGTGACATGGGACCCCCATTCCTGTCACCGAGTCCCCAGACTTGTGCAAAGCCAATTAAACATATTCTTGGAGGAGGCAGCAGGGAGGGTGAAGGAAGCATGCTAGAACAAAGCCAGGGAAAAGAAGCTGAACTATGAGAACAAAGATAACTTATAAGGGATGATAAACCTGCACATACGTGCGGGTGTCACTCAGAGTACAAGGGCATACTCAAGTGGGACCAGGACAGCCATCCCTCCTTAGTTAACAGAAGGTGTTTGAAACAAATGTGCTTATGAAGCACACACACACACACACACACACACACACTCCTTTGCCATTATATCCCTCTATCATTATCCACTATGTCCCTATTCATAAAATGATTGAACACCTTTATATTCATTTCACAGGAAACCAATGGGAAGAGACATTCAGGGACGGGTCCAAGCTCCCCCAGCTAATGGCTGGCCCAGCCCAAGTCCCACCCAGGCAATCTGACTCCACAACCGGTGCTCTCGACTAACCTCTGTGCAATCCTGCTTCTTGGGAAGGATGATATTGTCTAGTTACAATACAGTAATTAAATAATGTTTATTCAGTACTGATTCTGTAAAATACAAGCACTTAACGTATATGATCTTATTTTATTTTCATGGTCACGCAGTGAAATATCTACTATTCTTACCCCTATTTTGTAGAATAGGAAATTGAGATCCAAAAAGGTTAAATGGCTTGTCTAAACCTACATAAGTAGCAAATGTGGGAGCCAGGATTATACCTAAGTCTTTATGGACCTGAAATTCATGCTTTTATGGTCTTAAGCACAGTGTCATATCATCTCTCAAAGATTAAATAAGGTCCTTATGGGGATTTTAAAAATAAACCCACAAATCCTGTGTTCATCTCTTCCCTCCAGAGGTAGAGAGGCACTCTTCTCCCCAACCCTCCCCTTCGCTGTGGGCTTGACTTAGAGACTAGCTCTAACCAAGAGGATGGATACCCTGTGGAGATTAGGCTTCCATCGTGAGTGCACCATCTCTCTCGGGAATCATTCACTCCGGAGGCATTCATATTCAGCTTCATCGTATCAGGACATTTAGGTGGCCTGTGGAAAGGCCCATGTGGGGAGAAATAGTGTAAAGAATCCAGACAACAGCCAAGAGAGACTGAAGCCAGTCCGAACCAAGGAGTGAGCTTAGAAGGGACCTCCAACCCAATGGCTGCAGTCCTGCCTGACAACCAACTGCAACCTCATGGAGGACCTAGGCTAAGGACCACCCAGGTCAGCCGCTCCCACATTCCTGGCCCTGAAGAATCTGAGAGATGATTAATGCTTACTGTTTAGATGCTGAATTCTAGAGTAATAGCTAACTAATGAACTTATCTATAGATGACAAATTCAGTGAGGACCAGAGCCATAACCTCTCGGTGCCAAGATGAAGATGAAGATGAAAATGAAGATGAAGATGAAGAGCCTCAAATTATCCATGGATCTGTAGATGGTGAAGGTGCTAAAAGAAAGCCCCAAAGAGCACTATCTGGACTCTCTAAGGACAAAAATCTCCTCAAAGTTCACATTACCAGTTTGGTTTCCCTACATCCCCTGACAATAACTTATCATGGGAGTGAGGTATTATGTGCAGTTTTTATTTTTACCTCTAAGTCTTTTTCATTTTCCGAGAAAATGCTTTCATATTGGTTTCTAAGCCAGATCAATTGCAGTCTCTTCTCCAATAATCCAAGGCCCAAAAAAGTCCACACCACACAAAGCTGGAGAAAAAGAAATCTTGGTGGCAGTAACAGCATGGCCAGCTGGCACCTGTCTGAGGGCCCGCTCAGGACTAGCATAGCCTTGTCCCTGGTCTTCCTATGTCAACACCACTCCTGTCTGTCCATCTTCCACCTGGCCCCCAAAGTGGAATTTCTAAAATGCAGATGGTAGCATACCTCTCCCTCTGCTTACAATCCTCAGCAGCTCTCTGCTATCCTCGAGAGAGCCCAGCCTCCTTCCCCCAGCACCTCTAGTCTCTGGTGGCCATGCCCCTCCACAGGCCTGGCCTCAGCTAATTCTTGGCAGCTCCACCGCGGGCCACGCTCTCCTACACTTGGGTTCATGTTTTTCTCTCTGCCTGGAATGCCGGCCCCAGCTTGTCTGTCTGGCTTACTCCTACGCAGCCTCCCAGGCTCTGCTCAGATGTACCTCTTCTAGAAGGCAGTGAGGAAACTAACACGCACTCAGGACTTATCCTTGACCATCCTGATGTTCATGTTGGATTGCATCTGATTTCATCAGCATGATAATTCTGTACTTTTCCCTACGAAATCCGTCATGTTGAAG